TTATGGGAAAAATTCGATCAGACCTCGACCTTTTTAGGATTCGATCTGGAGTCGGGAACGGATTAAGTTCGAGAACCGAGGTACCACTGTATTTTATATTATCTGAAACAATTTTAAACTGTACAGTGCTTGAAAAAGCTGGGTCCAGGTTCCCTGACAGTGATAGAAGTTCACTCTAATGCCAGTTAATAGCCTGAAACCTCACTAAAAGAGTTAATGAGTTGAAATAAGTGAGGAACTGACTGTTCTGGTTCTAATACAAAGAGGACAATGTCGTCAGCATATAAAGATATTTTGTGATTAACACCGCCCAGTGGAATAGGTTTAATAAGGTCATGTTCTCTGATGCTAATTGCAAGGGGTTCGACAGCCAATATGAAAAGGAGGGGGGACAGTGAGCACCCCTGGCGTGTTCCCCTATGAAGGGAAGAGGGCCTTGACCGATTTTCATTAGAGAGGATAGAGGCAGTAGGATGGGCATAGAGCAAATGTACCCAAGAAACAAAAGATTCACCAAGTCCAAACCGTTCCAGAACCTTAAAAACATATTCCCATTCCAACTGATCAAACGCTTTCTCTGCATCTAGGTAAATAATAGCATTTTTAGAGGATTTACCAAATTTGTGATACATTATGTTCATGACTCTTCTAACATTAAAAAATGAAAATCTATTTGGAATAAATCCAGTCTGGTCCATATGAATAACAGAATTTATACATTTGTTTAGCCTATTTGCCACAAGTTTTGAAAAAATCTTGAAATACACATTAAGTAGCGAGATTGCAAGATAGGATGCAGGATCCGTTTCATCTCTATCTTGTTTTAGCAAAAGTGAAATGTTTGCATCAAACAGTGTTTGTGAGTGAGAGAAAATTCTGTGTAAAAGTGGAGCTACCAGTTTTTTATATTAAAAATTCAGGTTAAATACAATGGTCCATAAGGAGCATGCATACTACTTTGTGACGCTCATGAGAACATTGCCTGGCTTCAGCAGTTTGAGGTACAGTATAGTATCATATGTAGTTATTTTTAATTCTGCATAATTGTTATAGTATTAGCAGAAAAGATTACAGTGGGTATGGGATCACCAAAGCTGGACATTTGAAGATGGGGAAAAATGACTTGGTCTGATGAATCTTGATTTCTGCAGTGACATGCAAATTGTAGGGTCAGAATTTGGTGTAAGCAGCATGAATCCATGGACATACCTTGTATCAACAGTTAAAGCTGCTGATAGTGGTGTAATGATGGGGGAATGTTTTCTTGCCATACATTGGGCTCCCTGATACAAATCAAGCATTGTTTAAATGCCACAGCTGGATGAGCTGATTATTTCTGGTATGACCACAATTTACCCGTCTTGTAATCAGTCCTTCCATCAGCATAGTATGCTATGTCACAAAGCAGTTAGCTCAAACTGGTTCCAAGAACATAACAATGATTTCAGTGTACTTCAATGGCCTCCTGAGTCACCAAATTTGAATCCAACAGAGAACCTTTGGGGTGTGGTAGATCAGGAGATTAACAGCATATATGTGCAGCTGACAAATCGGCAGAAATTATGTGATAAAATCATGTCAACATGGACCAAAATCACTTAGGAATGTTTCCAGCACCTTGCTGAGTTCCTGTTCAGAGAGGAACTGAGGGTCATATCCAGTATTTATGGTGCTTCTGATGAAGTGGTTGGTGAGTGTAGATATACAGATATGCACTCTTTGTGTACAGTAGTTACATGAAGCTTTGGTTTCTCATGTACTACTCATAGTCTATACATATTGTACTATGTTTTCAATGTCCCAAGACACCGAAAGAGCAAATTCCAAAACTCACCCAGTCCATAATGAGATGTTTTTGAGATGAGACCATTAATGATGTACAGTCAAGCTTCCTAATCATATGTTACAGTCTTAGGAACCAAAATTCAGTCCTCTTGCAATCCAGTGAAGAACTTTCATTAAAATTCCAAAACTCACTAAGTCCACACTGTAAAAACGATAACTAGATATTATTGGTCTTATTAAAGTTTTCAAATTAAACTGACTCAAAAATAACGCTTTACCATTTGCAACTTTGAAAAACTTGTCTGCCCTACAATTTTTTCTGATTGTTGTCCTCACAGATATATTCAAATCAGCAGAACAAAGACTTGTAAGTCTTTGAGCAAATTTTTTCTTGAAGCTGGGGATACTCCCAACTGCGCATGCGTGAACAGTTGGAACCGGTTTTAACGAGTTCTCTGCTGAACTTGAGTGGTCATTTTTCAAACAGAAAATCCAAAGTGACTTGATGTAACGTAGCCAGATTTGGACGTTAACTTCAGTTGGGGATTCATTATTTTGTTTTGTTGAATATTACAGATTTCTGCCTGGTCTGTCATTCGTGAGTGGTTGGTGTTTCAATATGGTCCTTAACCCCTAGCTTATTATTATCACAACATAAACATGTGCCCTTACATTGCTCCTTAAATCTTTTCAAGCAAGCATGTTCCTTGCTTAATAGGCATACATAATAAAACAGGCACTTAACAAATCTGTACACCTTGCTGCTTAACCGGAAACACTGGATTTATTTAATGTGGTGATGACATACAAGGAAGACTGTGATTGGTTATATAGTTAAATGCAAGCCCCTCCCTTGATGACCCAGGGACACGTCAAACTTGGTAAAATCAGGACATGCTAGTTACTATATTTGTTCAGGATTTGAGCGTGAGTAGCAAATAAGTTACTGAGTTACTTGTGCACCACAAATAAAGTGTTATGGAGTAGTTTATGTTAAATAGCCTATAAATATACTGCTTTAAGTGATATTAGATAATTAACTTGTCCATCCATCCATTTATCCAGCTTCCAATTATGTATAACTTGGTCAGGGATAATCTTCACATAAGTTTAATATTGCTAAAAATAAACCTAAAAATAATAATTAAAAAATGATAGAGCACAGACTATAGGTTAGGTTACAAGCTATGTGCTTACCTGGCTTTATAATTATAACGTAAAAATTACAACGTATTGCTTTGAAGGGTGAGCACAAGAGCAGCTCGCATCTTCTTTGCATTTCCATAACACGTTAAAGAACTTTGTTGTTTCTTGCGGTCCCAACAACAAAAACAACAACAACAATAATAGTAATAAACATCACTCATATTTAACAGATTTATGTAGTTAAACGACAGAAGGTGGATTAAAGGTGGAGCTCGCGGTTGCATAACACTTAAGATATTACGCTGCTCACGGGCGAAGGAGAATGGCACGTGGCAGTATGAGATAGCATCATTGAAATAGCTGTACAGGTATATAAGGGGAAGAACTTACGAAGTTTCTGAGTGAAAAGTTACTCTTAAAGGAGACGCGTAAAGGTATGTTTACTCAGTCTCACTATTAGTCTATTGTACTGGCTTCTTCATATTTGTTTCAGCTTAATCGATCAGTAAATAAGTAGATTAATGCAATGATAATAATACAGGAATTTAGCGTCTGTATTAATTCAGTCATTAAAATGTACACATTTTGTCATAACCTAAAAAGAAATAATTAAAACGCAGTACTACAATAAAACATGGGACGAATAAATTGATGAAAATTAAATTATCACTACAATTATCTGGTGTGAGAAATATGAGAAATTAATCTTTTATGTTTATTTATCTTTATTGAAAAGTGGGACACTAACTTGGTTGATCGAAAACGTGTGTCCCTGTATGGACTGACATCCTGCCTGTGTTATTGTCTTTCACACGGAGAACATGATTAACGAAATTTCTGTAGTTTCACCGTCACTAATGCATTGAAAGCACTTTTAATGAGGGGTTTCTCGTATCATTTTTCAGATGAATACTCCACTTGACACGATGTTTGTTTTGGGGTCTGTGTTGGTGGCCTTAGTACACGGAGAATCTGGCCAAATACGTAAGCGCAGCCATGCATTTTCCTAATTGATTCTCTCTTTACATATAGTTGTCATATTTGGATAATAAATATTTTTATATGACAAAATCGAATGAATAATTCGTCTTCCTTTCAGACTGGTGTTATAATAATGCATCATGCAGTAAGTACCATTTATTTACGCATTCTCCCAAATAAATGGCAATTCCTATAAGTAATGGCACTACTTACACTGGTCTGTGCAATGTGACGCAACGTTAATTTTAAATGCCAATAAGAGTACCACGTTTATGTTGCACCAGCTAGACGACGTTTGAATTATCCTTGTGACCCATGTTAACAGTATTTTTGTATTACGTCTCATATGTAATATCTTAATTGGTTGTATTTTGAGTTGATTTTTTTGTTTTCCAACAACTGAATTTGCGTGGTATGTTCTCCTTGTGCTGCTCTGGTCACACTATCCAAAAGCATGCAGTTTGGTAAATTAGGTCTTTAAATTGTGTGTGTGACTGTATATGCCCTGTCATGGACTGGCCTTCTGTCCACAACGTCCAGTGTGGTGTTTTCCTTCAATGTTCTTTTTTTCTTCTTCTTTCTTTTAAATAATGAATTTGTACTTAGGGCAGCACAGTGGTGCAGTGGTTAGCACTATTGCCTCACGCCGCCAGGACCAGGGGTAAAGTCTCCGTCAGGTTCCATGTGGTTGCAGAGCATGGATGGATGGATTTATACCTGATTTATTAATTTTTTTTTGCATATTCTTTAGATGAAAATGTCTGGGTCTCAGCACCACTGGGCTTCTGTAATGGAACACGGCAATCGCCCCTCAATATCAACACCACCAGTGTTAAAGGGAACTCAAGTCTGATAGCCTTCAACTTCACTGGCTTTAGTAACAGAAGCACTATGACGACAATAGAGAACACAGGCCATACAGGTGGGCTATTCCCTGGAAACACTGGTTGATAGTGGGCTGACATGTATCCAAATAGTATGAACATGTGTTGGCTCTCCTCTCTCTCCACCCTTAGTGAAGGTAACATTAGGAGACGGGCTTGTGAAGATCAGCGGTGGGGGGCTCCCTGGGACCTACGATGTCCAACAGTTCCATCTGCACTGGGGCAATGGCAGTGGTGTTCCAGGATCAGAGCACACTGTGGATGGCAAGCGATACCCCATGGAGGTAATGAAACTGTTCGTTGTGCCATGTTGGATTGGTCTTAATTGTGCTGTAGGCTGATTTGAAAATGTTACTCCTCCATTTCCCTCAGTTACATATCGTGACTGTCAAGTCTGAATACAAAGGCAACATAACCCTTGCCCTCACAGACCCTGAAGGTCTGGCAGCATTGGGCTTCTTAATAGAGGTGAGCGGTACAAGGTTTATCAACAAAATAGTGTGTGACTTTTGGAAATCATACCCTGACTTTTTTTGTTGTTTCAGAAAACAAATGACAGTTCCCTGCCAAAGAGCTGGAAAATCTTGACATCATACCTGCCCAATGTTACAAATAGTGGTGAGTCTTAGAATGAAACCAGTTTTAGCGCATTTTTTAAAAGGGCTGTCTAAGGTTGATCCTGTACATTTATTCTTATCTTTCATTCTTGCCTTTCACTATAATTCTTAAATTTCACACAAAATTTAATATACAAATTTACCATCAAAGCAGTTTCCATATCCTATGTGGACAAATGTGGTGGCAGAAGTTTCAGTAAAGTTATTTCCCACCCACTGTTCCTCAGACCAAAAGGCAAACATTACTCAACAATTTCCACTTGATGATCTCCTGGTGGGGGTGGACCGTACAAAGTATTACCGTTATTTGGGCTCCCTGACTACCCCCGATTGTGACGAGGTTGTGATTTGGACTGTATTCAAGGATCCAGTCAAAGTTAGCAAGAATTTGGTAGGTATTAACTTTATTATTAATATTTGTCGATTCTATTATTTGTGATTTCTGGTACCCGTTCTGTTATAGTTGCAGATTTTTGCTTCCATTGGGTATATTAAAATGCAATGCATATGTCTGGTTAGGTTATATCATACACATACACAGACATACACACATACAGAGCAAATTAATGAACATAGAGGTGTTAAGATAATTATTTAAAACTGATTAGTTAGGTACCTTTGCAGCTGAATTCATACAGCGATATTTATACAATTATGTACCTCCTGGAAATATTATAATTGTTCAGTGCATAATGCACCCATTTTTGTTTATGCTCATAGATTGACCTTTTCAGCACGTCGCTATACACCTCTGACCCCGTGCTGATGACCAATACCTACCGAAGTACTCAGGTGCCCAATGGTAGAAGTATCATGACCCAGGCTTCAGCTTCATCACCACTAATGACTGCAGACAGACTTTTCCTTCTGTCCCTGGTCATGCTACATGTTCTCCTCTGGGAACGTGATGCATGATGAGGAAACTTTGATGTCAGTGTGATTTTCATTTTTACAATATTGGAGGATAACTTATATTATGATAGAGGATCCAATGTATTTTTTCTGTTTTAAAGTGAGATTGAAATAGGAAGAGAAAGGGATGACAGAATTAAATGTTCTGTAATTGATATAAAATGCCTACAGGCTGAACAAGCTGATTAAAAAGGCTGGTTCTGTCCTGGGTGTCAGACTGGAGAACCTGGTCGAGGTGTCTGAGAGGAGAATGCTGAAAAAGCTTCTCAGTATCATAGACAACCCCTCTCACCCCATGCACGCCTCCATGATGGGTCACCAGAGCACACACAGCATAAGACTCATTGCCTGCAAATGCAGAACTGAATGCAACCGGAAGTCCTTTCTACCTGTGACAATAAGAGTGTATAACTCTTCCCCTTTCTGTAGGTGATCTTTTTCAACCTTTTCATCTTTTTCAGCATTTATGTCATTAGGCACTCATTCGGATTGAACAATATTACTCATCTGCTTTTTATTTACTCACCTGTATGCTATTGAATTTTTTTTTTCATCCCCTCATCACAAGCTGCTATCTCATTTTATTCATGGCACAAACACTGTCACTTTTCATAACCACTTGCACTAATAATCTGTTTATTTTATTATATCTGTTATAGTTATTTGTTGCTTTGTTAGGTTTATTTTGGTATTCTGTTTTTGCACTATTACTACTGTTCTTTTTAACTTCTTTTTAAGCTCTTTACTGTCTTATCTTAATTCCTCTTGTTGCACTGAGCATGTTTAAGACAAAAGAATTTCCCTTGGGATAAATAAAGTTCTCATCTTATTTTGCACATAAAGAATTTCCTGGGTTTTATACAATTAAAGAGCTTCATACAATTACAGAAAATCAATGTATCAATACCGATATTCATAAGACTCCCCCACACCCCCAGTTGTCCCAATGTAAAGAGTGGAATCCCCCATCATGAGTTAGTAGCTTAGTTTTTTTTTTTTAGGAATGTATCTCTCACTATAAAATGGTTGGAGATTAATGATTTAGCGTAACTAATGGAAAGGCCAGCAGGCCGGATGGACTGTAAACTTTGCCCCTCTGTAAATTTGTTTGCTTGTTGGTGATCAAAAGGAGCCACTCTGAACATCAAAAGCACTTTCCATTTGTGGGGCAAAAGGGGGACCCTTAGCTGTTGGGCCCTTGATCAAGTCCCACACCCAAAAAAAAAAAAAAAAACATCTTAAAAGAGTGCAAGATTCCTATGTACATGTACGAACTGAAAAAAGCATCTTTGTTTAGGGTTCAATCTACATAATTTACATAGATTCTAGCATAATTAACAAAAAACATATCTGGAGAGTGCAGTTTTAAAAAGCTAAAGAGTATTTTTCCAGATACAAGGACAAACACAAAGCAATTATAAGATTACTAGATTACTCAAAGCAGTGTTCTTTTTGCAGTGATCATATATAATATATTATATATAATAATATTGTATAATATTAATATAATAATCTTTTAATACATTGTAATTGTCACAACGGGCTGGGAAGGGAGACAAGGATCCAGAAATGCAGGGAGAAAAGAGCTTTAATACGCCAGACGCCAGGGGCAAACAGGTAAGTTGAAGCACTGACACGCAGCGAAGGAGACGCGAGACCGCCCGGGTGACCGGAGCGGATACACAAGGCAGGGGAGCTTTCACCGTAGTGGCAGGCAGGCAAATAGATGTTGAAGCGGCAGGCAATAAGCGTAGTCAAGGTCCGTGAGCGCAGGTCGATAACGAGGGGATCCGTCCGACGAAGATGTGCAGGACAGGGAGATACACAGGGAGACGAACAGAGGGAGCCGGATTCAGCAGGACGGGCGGATCAGGATCGGGAGCTGGACTGAGGACGGAAGGTAAACAAGGTAAGGTTCGCACACTAGGAATACGGGCAAGGTAAGGGAGAGCAGGTAGACGTAGGACAGAAGAATGTTCAGTATGGCTTGTAAACAGCGCAATACTTCGTGAGGTGTTTTGGGTTTGCCCTTCTTTTAAAGGGCTGTTACGTAGTTGCTGATGTGTTGCACCTGTCCACCCCTCCTCCCGTGGGCGTGACAGTAATATATTTCAGTGTTGGATATTTCAAGTCCATTGTGAGACATCTGAATACGTGAAATATTGACTGTTTTGTTTAATAAAGAAAAGATAAATGATATTTTACATAAAGCAATTTGTTATAAAACAGTTTTCTTTATTTACTGTATATTAAACGGCATGTGTTTGCCACCTGGTATCTAAGTAAAGATAAGCATTTGTTAAACAGAAACACTAATATTGAGATAGAATGTCTTGTAAGACGAGAGAAATGTGACATTGATGGAATGAGCACGAGTTGAAGAGTGAGATGGTCAGATGAATAAAAAAATATGTCCACACAAAATTGTCATTTATCAAATCACACTATTAATCTCAGAATTTAACCCCTCTCTCACACAAAAGAAAATTTCCCCAAGCACATAACTTTATAAAATTTTACAAATCTCTCCTTATCGGTTTCATTTCATGTCTTGTGTTGTCTTCTTTACTGTGTTTCACCAAGAGAACATGAAGGATAAAGCATTGACGTCACAAGGTATTTGAAGTGAATGATGAAACATAACAGAAGGTGGAATGTAGATAACACACAGTAGTTAAGCAGACAGTGTTGTCACTCCCACAAACAAGCTTCTCAGGTAAATTTCAATATTACCTTTAGGGTATGACTGAGAGCCACCTCCTTTTAATCCTAAAGAGATTTCAGAATGTATTATTGTGACAATATGTTAAAGTTTTAATTAAGTCCAGTAAAAGGTAAAGCTTTACATTTACTGCACTTTTTGTTTCACTCATTTCTCAATATGTGGGTGTGCGTTTGTGAATAATATATATTATGTGAGTGGTGGGTTCATGACTTAAAGAGCTGCCTCTCTTACCTACCTGTGTAATGCCACTAATGCTCCCACCAGCTGTACAGCAGACGAGGAGGGGGCCGGGGAGCTGGCCAGCAGTCCCTCCCCGATTTGGTGGAACAGAGTTACTAACCTTCTGAGACTGAACAGGGGTTCAGTGCTACTTTACAATAAGGCTACCCTTAAAGGGATTATGAATGGTTTATAAGCAGGTAATTCATTAGGTTGTAAATCATTACTAGACAGTTATAAACAAGTTATACCACAGTTTTCTTCTTTATAAGAGGCAAAATGTAGTCTTATTGTAAAGTGGTACCAGGGGTTCTTACAGTAGCACTAGGAGAACTCCACAGAGTGAATAAAAGGCCTCTCTCACCTCACCTTGGCCCGTAGCAGATGCAGTAGCTGATAAAGGAGCAACAGCTGGAGGAGAAACCAGAATTGTGGGCTCCAGAGGAAGCAGGTCCAGGTTGTTTTCCTCATGGTTGCTGACTCATCAATCCACTGGTGCATCTATACAGATGTGGACAAATTTGTTGGTAGCCTTACAGCTCATTGAAACAATGCTTCATTTCTCCTGAAAAGTGATTCAATTAAAAGAAATTTGTATGCCTGCATGCCTTTAGACAAAACTGGACCTTTTTGGCCAGTCACATTAGCTCCATGCCTGTTTACAGAAAGAAAAATGAAGATGTAAAAGAAAAGAACATCATATCTACTGTGAAACATGGAGTGGGCTCAGTTTTGTTTTGGGGCTGCTTTGCTGCATCTGGCACAGGGAACCTTGAACCTGTGCAGGACACAATGAAGTCTCAAAACTACCAAGGCATCCTGGAGCGAAACATACTGCCCAGTGTTAGAAAGCTCAGCCTCAGTCGCAGGTCATGGGTCCTCCAACAGGATAACGGCCCAAAACATATAGCTAAAACCACTCAAGAATGGCTGACAAAAAAAACCATTGGACTATTCTTAAATGACCCTCCATGAGTCAAGATCTTAACTGAACATCTATGGAAAGATCTGAAAATTGCTGTGTGGAGAGGCCATCCTTCAAACCTGAGACAGATTGAGCAGTTTGCTCAGGAAGACTGGGTCAAACTACCTGCTGGCAAATGCAGACGTCTCATTGTGAAGTACAGAGATTGCCAAGAAGCGGTGATTGCTATGTAGCCCCTTTACTCCTAAGGTATTTAAGGTAGGGCTATGGGTTCCTTTTAACTAAATAATTTAAGGGTTATGCTTAATTCCAGATCAATTAATGTTCAATAAACACAAACATGTAAATAGTGAAAAAGTTTACTAAAGATTCTAAGTATAAAAAGAAAAGCTTAAATATCTTCACTCAATTAGTACAAGTCCTTCAAGTTCAAATTCTAACACAAACCAGTTACAATAAATCCACAAATAATAAAACCGGCATAATTAAAATAAAACCCCAACCCACGTTGCAGGCCTGATAATGAATATGGCGCTCCACAGAGTCACAGTCACTTATGGGTGTGCACATAGGTGAAGAGTAGGCGAAGATACAGTCTGCAGCGACGTCCAACTCCAGCTCTGCCAGAGGAGGTCTGAGCGTTCCTGGTAGCTCAAACCGCTATCTGGTTAACTCCTGGCGCTTCAACGGGCTCAGCTGTAGTCGTTTCAAATAGAATAAATTCACGATTATTTAAAACTTTTTTTTTTAAACAAACTACAAATTAAATTTACAATTCCAATAACAAAAGGTTGGTATTCTTTTAAATTAAAATTTTTAACAGCCTACTCATTTATTTTACAGGGTTACACCCACCCCCTTCTAAATGTCTGTATGTCCTCATCAGACACTACATAAACGAACAATATTACAGTTGTAGTAACTTCTGTTAGTTCTGCCCAATCTTAATGACAATACCATGGTGCACAATGGTTAGGGGCTGATCTCTTGATCTACCAGGGTCATCATATGTGAGTAGAATTGTAGGTTTCACAGATCTCTTTGGTCTAGGCTCAGATCTGGACTCCACATTGTCTTTGCAGATTTCAACCAATTCTTCTGAGTCAGACTCCAGCTCATTGTTATGGCCCCCTTCCAAGTTACTTGTCCGTCACATTCTTCATCCCTTTCCTCAACCTGGTCAGGTTCAGAATCATGGTCTTCCTGTTCAGGTTCAAAGCATGTAAATGCTTTCTTACATCCTCAATGTCAGCAGGAGCTAGCCGACATGACCGCTCACAAAAAAGTCTGGAATCAGAAAGGCGTATTCGGTGCTCCACCCCTTTGGCAAACTCCACATTCCACTCATGCATTGAGAAGCCTTGAGACTTTTGAGCTAACTTCTGACAGTCGATTCTTCCATTATTCTGAAATGGGAGAGTCCTCAAAGTTTATCATACTTGTGTCAAACTCAGCAGAGGCATTCATAGTGACCACTGAATCAATGTGATACACACATCCAATCACAGATCCCACAGGTAGAGAAGTTTCCCTTGTACCTTCATTCCTGACCAGCACTCTAAATCTGTTGATGTCTAATGCCCCACTGGGCACAATCATTGGATAAAGGAACATATCAGCAGGCAGGACAGTAGCTGATGATGAATCCATCATCAGGATTTCGCGGTCAACTGGTTTCTTCATCTCAACTTTGCAAACCACATGAGTGTCACCTTCTGGGGGTAAAACCAAAGGACCTGGACTCAGCCATTTGACATAACCAACCTCACTCTCTTCATGCACAGGAACTGCAACACCATAGAGGGCAGGCTCATCTCCCTCACTAACACAAAGGCCTAGTATTTGTGTCACATCAATCCCATTCTCTCTACATTGCTTAACCAAGCATCGAGCATGGCTAGCGTTGGTGCCCACAATGACTGATGTCTGATCTTCAGTCCTAGGAATAGGACATATGAGAGCAAGGACAGTTA